TTATAGTGTAAATTACTTTATTTATTTCACAAATGTTTAAGGAACATAATTTGGAAAAAAATATTATATTTATTAAAAAAAAAAAAAAAAAAAAAAAGGATTACTCACAAACTAATGCTATTAATATATCAATATAGATTTTTAATTCGTTAATTCGTTTTATATTTGATAAAGTAACACAATCTTTACCGTCTGCAAATAAGGCAAAAATTGTATAATATAATTACATTCATTCTATTAAATATTATATTTAAGATAATCAATTTTATTAAATATATTATTGTAATTGATTAATTTTCTAAAAAGAATTATCGACGTCGTTTCCTTTCAATTTATTTTATATTGAATGTAACTTTATTATACCAATACTCCTATTAATGGCTAGAGATTTAGAACTTTCAATAAAATAAATGCAACTACCGAATAAGATTAATTTAACATAAATATATTTCATTTATGAAATATTAAAACGGAAAATACTTTTACTTTATTTGTAAAACAAAAAAATTGTGTAATAACTTGCATTATTCATCAGATTTGGTTTAATTACTAAAACTACTTTCTGAAAATTGAAAATTGACTCATCATATTTAAGAATCGAAGAGACAATAATAGATTAATAAGTAATAAATGAAAATGATTTTTAATATTATAGCTTAAAAATATATTCTATTCTTATGAAATGTCATCTTTCAAGAATATTATAGCTCAACATTTTTGAAAATAATTTCTAATTGTTGGAATAAAAATATAAACGAGTATATTTATTATATATGAGATTTTGATTTTAAATTTAAATTTATAATATAATTAATTTTATATGGGTTTTTTTTTTTAATATTATTGTATGTTTTAAAGAGTAAACAGTAAAGTTTTCGTAGTTTCAGTAAAACGTATATTATTCTGAAAAATATTCAGTCTTTAAATAATAATTGTTTTAAAAATGTTGTAATTATTAAAATACTGTTAATATTAAATTAACAAAATTGTTATAATTAAACGTATAATAATTATGTTGTATTTAATTAAAGTACTGAAATCGATAAGTTTAAAATTCTTATTTGGCTTCAAATCGATTAAATAATTTATAAATAGCGATTGGATATAAATCATAATTTACAATTTTTCAAATCAGCAAATGCATATAGTTCCACTTGAATTATTCCTATTTCTACTCTTTCGTCCTCTTCTACTTCTTCATATTTTTCAATATCCGGATACAAAGCATTCAGAGATTGTACTTTCAAAGCTTAAAATTCTCGAAGGTTATACAGCCATTCGACCGATCGAATTATCCAATTGCTAGAGCTGTCGCAATTGCTTATTATTAATAGTGCGATGTGAAGAAAATCTTTTGTAAAATTGTCGCGCGACTGCCAATTCTCTGGCTCCGTTTAATTCTGAATTGAAAAATTGAATAGAAATGTTAAGGTGAAGATGGAAGACAAGCGCATGTGTGTACCTGAGTACACTAGGTTTCGCGGAGGATTCGCCCTCGAAGATTGTTTCTAAATCTAAATTCCCTAGTTCTACTTTTCCTCTTCGACGCTTCGAGAAGAACCGAATGGCGAGCATATTTATTTGAATGAAATAACCATGTCGAAAGGAACGAATCGAATTCTATGTATGTGAGACTGGATGCTTGCAATGCACTATAAAATCCGTTATTGCGAAATGCCTGTCACGAAGTCACCTCGCGAATGTTGCGTTATTTAGAATCCTTCGAGTGGAAGGTTGGGAGAGAATTTAATTGATTGTAATTCCCTGATTTTAGGATTTCACACTGGAATGAAATACAACTACTATTTCGAAATTTTGAAATTGCCAAAAGGAAATTCTCTTGTTATTCTATTGTTTTATAATTTGGACACTACGGTTAATTCTTTAAGATTTTATGATGTCTAAATGACTCGCGAAAGATCTCTTATTCATAAAATTACAATGATTAATATAGCACAATGTTAAGTTTATAAAAATAATTCGTCGATTTATCAATAAATCTTTCAAATTTTCGTATAATCTTTTATTTCTTTATATTAATATGGTATAATTATCGCTAAAAATGATGATTTATGCTTTTAATTGCATTATTATTATATCAAAGAAAATATAAAAGTTATATAAGTGTATAATATCATTAGAAACTATATATAATATATATAGAATTGCTTTCAAGTCATGATTTACATTTCTATACAAAATATATTCGTATCTTTCAAGGTTGTTTCAAGGTTATAGTAACATTTAATTAAATACACTTCCTACGTAAATATACATTTTTCAATAATTTCTTTATTTTAAATTAATGTCAATTACTTTTGATAATAATAATTATATTTATGTATGTCTATCTGTAATTTGGGCGAATCATAAAAAAAAATTATTCTTTTTGTATAAATATTTACTTATTTTACATAAAATTGTGACAGTATATTTATCTTTTTCTGCACAAAAATCACTATAATTTGTTGTTCTACTATGCGCATATTGTTTACATTTCCATCAATGGCTCGAACAGCGGTTATAACAATAGTCATAGACATTATGGCTTCAAATAACGATCGCGTCTTTTTCGCAAATGTGGGTACTCGCACTCAGCTCGTAACCCATAGATCGAAGACTATGGTGGCAAAGCCGTATAATATCAAAGGGTGGAATGGTTGCACGTTAACGACATGCTTTCATACTCACTCTCTCTCTCTCTCTCTCTCATGTGTGTGTGCGCGCGTGCGCGCGAGTGTGTGTGTGTGTGTCTGTGTGTCTGTGTGTGTATCTGCGTGTATATAAGTCATATGCTACCGTCACCGGCAGAAGTCGCGTACGCTATAACGGACACACGGACGCTGTGTAGCGAAAGCCAATGTGCGAACTAGACGTCGAAATCGAATCAAGGAGAGCTTGCATTAACGGTTATTTCGGCGCTAATCAATGGACTGCGACTACGTAAAATAGTCCTTCAGAATGGCTCAATTATTATTAGGAAGAACGGATTGGCGAACGTGATGTATTTGCTTAAATTGCCGCCGATGTGAGATCGCGTTATATTAGGCGAACGATTTAATATGCTCGAAAACTTATTGGATGGCTTCCAAAACCTGCAAGTTATTTCGAATAATAGCTGAAACTTCTATTAATAATGACTAAAATTGACACATTGCGGTGGCGAGGGTGTAAAGTATTATTAGAGCATTATCGCCTTATCTGCAACACACGTGTAACGCGTTAAATTACATTTTTACAGTATAAAAGCCGAAAATTTGTATTGTGCGCGTGATGAATTTTCATAATTTAAATAAACATTTTTTATTCATTCATTTCTTTCAAAATTCCCGTAATTATGTACCTTAATAATGAATTATTATTTATTAGCATTAATAAATAACAAAAGCTCTATTTATTTTTAAGTTAATAAATGTATTTCAGGCTTACGACGATAATTCATTTGAAAAATGAGTCCATCATTTTCATATAAAATTAATATTAACTACTTTTTAAGAAAATTTTCTAAAATGATCATAAATCTCTATATATGTATGGATATTTTATTCATTGTGAATTCAGTAATATTAACGATAATTAAAGCATATGTATAAAATTAAAAATTTTTTAAAATAACTATTAACGATCGACGTATTAACTGAATTGTTATACCTTTGCATTTTGTGAAATTAGCTGATATAAAAGTAGTTAGTTAAAGTTAGTAAATAAAAGTTAGTAAGATACCATAAAAGCCTTAAAAATTTCTTATAAATAGCTAAGAAGTTTTAACGTAATTATTTGATGTAAATTTTTAATATTACACTTTTGCTATTATTTTGATTGTAACATTCGATGAAGTAACAATAAAAATAATGCAAATAAATATTTATTACCTACATTATATTATATGATCAATAATATATAATTTAATTATTCGTGTAAAATGTTGAATTTTCATTGAAAAAGAAAACAGTATATGATATATACATAATTTAGAATGAACTTTCAATAGAAATTGCACAGTTATTACGTTATTTACATCGACGTAAAACATTTTTGTCATTATATTTTCTAATGTCATCCGAAAGTTTTTTACGTTACGTAGAAATTTTATTTGTTTAATCTTGTTAATTGATATATGAAAATGTTGAATTTTATAGAATGAAGTAAAGTTTGTTACCAATATATGCAAAGCATCAATCATTTTAAGTGCTAAAATTTTACATGGATGTATACTTTGTAGATATTTTTACATCCTTTAATTATAGCCACTTTGACAATATTACTAAATATAAAATATTCAATATTTGATGCATTAAAATTTTTAATAAAATCGAATGTACATCTTCAATTACATAATATATTAACATGCATATTAACGTTGAATTATATATATAAAAAAAAAAAACAAAGAAAATCTTCCAAATCATAGAGTCTAATGTTTTTACAATAAATATCAGGATTTTCAGGAGTCTTTTACTCCACGACAACTACTATTATACTATTTTTGCAAACGCTTTCAACGCGCGTATACCGCTTTACTATGTGCGAACGACTACACTGTAATAAACTTATATATATATATATATATATATATATATATATATATATATATATATATATAACTTATATGCACATGGAAATAAGCATTTTATTCCTATTAATAGCTTAATGGCTGAATCCGAATATGTAGGTATTATAATATGAGCTAAATACAAATATTTAATAATGTTTTAATGAGGCTACTTTTATCTCTTAATTTTTCAAGTTTTACATTTTTTCTCAAGGGCATTATTTGCGAAATTAGAAATCAAAATTTTTGACGCAGTGTAGATTAAAATTATATTAATGATAAACCTTAATGAATAAATTATTCACCTAGAAATGCTTTTACATTTACATATACCATTATATAATATGCCGTATATACACTTGAATCGGGTAGGTATTTATATAAGAAACGTCATGCCTAATGAAATTTCTGGATATCTCTTATATTTATGAATTTCTGTTTACTACAGATAAACTCAGGATGGTCCCTTGGGCCGGTGCTTTGTGACATGTGGACCAGTAGTGACGTCCTCTGCTGCACGGCCTCAATATTACATTTGGTGGCTATCGCCGTCGACAGATATTGGGCTGTCACCGACCTAAATTATATACAGGTCAATTAATGACATTGCACTGCATATATATTAGTTATAGATATCCTTAGCATCCATAATCAACCAACCCATGAGCTTCTTCTTCTTCTTTTTTCTTTTTTTTCAAACAATTACTCACCTCTCAAAGGTTTTTCGTTTTCCACCACGATGTGGTGAATTTTGAATTTCGACGCGAGTTTCGAAATTCTTAGCTTTTCCATTATTTATTCATCAAAGTGCGGCAGTTTATTTTCCGATGGACGCAGTATTGATTACAAGCTTCAAAATGCAATTACCTTTATTTTATTTTATTTATTTATTTTTTTTTTTCTAAAATACTTCGTACGAAAACATTTAATATTGAATTTTTAATGGAGAAATATTTGTCGCAATAACAAAAAAAAAAAAAAAAAAAAAAAAAAAAAAAGTTTGATCTTTATATAGATTTGAATTATTTTTATTTTCAATGGTTAATCAAATATTCCATATATTAATTTTTTGAAACGATAAATACGTTAGAAGAATAATTCTTCTTTGTTTCTTAATTTTTTTTTTTTTTTTTTTTTTTTTTTTTTTTTTTCTGGTGCTACATAATAAGTACAAGCAGTTTTTTTATTGCTCCAATCTCACCTTTAGCTATCATCGTGTGCAAAAATAGCATGAAAATTAATAAGATGCTAAAAATTTAATTCACCTCGATATTTTTGTATTCTCTATGACTTATTTTTTATTAATTGTTTTTATGATTTTTACTTTTAGAATAATAATAATTGCATCAATAAGAATAATAGAATAATCGCAGCATGCCTTCATGATTATATCAATTGTCGCTCATTGATTCTGTATTACACTTACAATTGTACGAATCAGTGACTTTTGATTTAAACGAGCTATTATAAATTAAAAAAAAAAAAAAAAGTAATAGCGAGTAAACTAGCAGTGTAAAAATATCTTGTCACTTGGCAGATCAAATGATCTAGGACTATATAAAATTTAAAAGTGTGGCAAGCGAGAGCTTGTAACTTGTAAATAATAAACACGAAAATATTACGATGAGATTTTTCTTGTCCGAACGAAAAAGAGTAGTACTCGTTCCCTCATACAAAACATCGATGCCTCCAAACACTAATCGACTCTTTCTTCAACTTTATTAAATGCCCGAGCGACATAATCAAAGAGGCGAAATCAAAGTTCCGTTAGCGCCCTACTCTCTCGAATATTCTGACATGTCCACCTGTAAGCTTTATAAAACGAAGGAGAAAAGAAAGAAATTTAAAAAAATGGAAGCCAGAAAGAAGGACTGACCGTATGCCCATAATAAGTCAATACTCTTTTGCATCAGTGAGAAAGGAAGGAGTGACAGCAATTGACATACTCCACGCACGTTCAACTCTATCTGCATGCAGATACAATAGCCGTGATAGAAAGTGAAATTTAACGCGCGAAGATTTATTTGTTTCGAATCGTTCTTGAAAGCCTCTATGAAATAAATGGTGAAGTGCTGTCGAGGCGATGTAGTTTTTATGCAGTTTTTATAGTGGAGTTTTTACGGCTTAAAGAACGAGGGAACTCTTGAACGTCGGAATTTTAAGGAAAATAAATAGATATAAATCAATTCATTACTCTCCTTAAATTTAGTCAAATGATGTTTTTATTTATATTAATTTCAAACTTTTATCGTCATTAATGCCTTATCCACTTAAAATTTCTTACTAACAGGAGCCCGTGCCAATACCAAATCACTTCTTTCTGCATAAATATAAGAATTATAAATTTGTGCGCATATTTTAATTGTAAGTATTATTTGATTAAAGTATTATTTTAGAAAAATTGTTTTTGAATAGAATTTATGTAATTTATTATATTATGTTGTAATTAAATGGTAAGTATGTGAAGTATGCTATTCAAGTCATATTTTGCATATCTTAATTGACTTGATATTGAAATTATTGGCAATTAATTATTATTGAATACTATTAATGAGTATTGAACGCATGTAATTAGATACCGTAAAATTTCTTCTAACTATTTATGACAAAAATTGATCATCACTGTATGACAAAACAATGTAAATAATTTATAGGGACTTTACAAATCAAGAAAGTTTGGTATAAGTAAAGCATATTAAGCTTTATAAAGACTTTTCAGATTATACAATAATTTTGCTCTCATAGCTCTGATATTGCGTACATAATAAATGAATACGGCAATTTTATTTTCATTTAAAAAATTGAGATTTAAATTTTTGTTAATTCGATAATGATTTTATAAGCAAAATGGACCATGTGATTAGAGTCTCTTAACTGCCAGTTACCTGCTTTGCAATTCTCTGAAAGTTCACTTACAAATTCGCGGAATTTCTAAGCTCAAAATATGCTGCTTTCTCCATTCTTTCTACAAATTGCTTTTCTTCTTCTTTTTTTTTTTTTTTTTTTTTTTAATCAAACTTGTCTCTGTTAGTAATATTAGCAGCTTGGAGGAGCTCAATAAAGATCATATTGGAATTACATCCATTATCGCATAGCACGAGAACGTTAAGAATGTGCCCTTTAATTGCTGCATTAAGGAATACAGGAGTTTAATGAATTCTGCTAGTTCTTTATTTACAGATGTACGGAATTATTGAGAAAGAATTGTACAAGAAAGGAGGGGAAAAAATGAAGGTTAAAAGTAAAAAAGAAACATAAACGTTAATTTCACTTTGTACGAGAAAATAACTAATTTGTGCCATGGCTAGACCGACAATGGTATTATCGATAATCAAACGTTAACGACAGATTAAAAAGATGATCAAGATGCTAGAAAGTCCGTAAAAGACATTTGAAATATTCCAATCTTCCATAGTTTATTTGCGTTGATGTATCATTATATATTAAATTTCTCAAGTCAATTTTTTCTTCAGTTATATTTTTACGTTTATTTGTCCTTCTCCCTTTTTCAAACTCCCTCGCGTCCTTGATTCATGACATTTTTACCGACATTGTATTTTAAGAATTTTTATATGGATCAAATAATTGTTAGAAAACTAATATTTTCTCAAATAATATTGACTTTACGAATATAAATATTTGTTTGTAAAATGAGTGTTTACGGAAGAGGGAGAAAGTGTTTAATAATTATGTTCTGATCTAAGTTTCTATTTATACATTATCTCCAACATTCCATCAAATGAAGTGGTCCTTAAGATATTTATTTTCAACTGGGGTGGAAAAAGTAATCCATCCTATTATTAGAATCAAGTTCTCGGTCACTTCTTCCAAACCTTGTTAGTAAAGCAAAATACGTTTAGACTCGCCAGAAAAAAGTCGCGATTGGTTGGAATTCAGTCGACAATTCGTGTGATAAATTCAAAATCTAGTGTTACTCCAATAGAAAATAAAAGAAACGTCCCTCTCCATAGCCTCTATTTATATGAATATATACATGCGTGTGTGCGCGCGTGAGTGTGCGTGCGTATACATGTTTATATAGATCTAGTCGAAGGAGTCTATGCATATATATTTATTTGATAAAAAAAAAAAATTCTTACGCTTGGAGTAGAAGAAGCAGCTGGATAAAGGAGTATGAGCTGTATATATATAAATATATATATATATATATATATATATATATATATATATACATAGGGTGGGTGTGTGTGAAGTGGGTGAATGTGAATTGAGTGGCTCTCAATATCTTCGCCCTCGTCTTTGGGGAAAATCGAGGGAGAAGGCCGCCAACGACGCATCATATATATCGATAACAGACTATCCCTACATAATACATATACATGCCATTACACCAGCCAATGCATTCCTACAATTACATATCCATAGTAATATGCATGTAGACATCGAGGTCATTACATATTATTTAAAGATTATATAATCGTGCTTATGTTTATGTAAACATATATCTGGGAATTGTTTGTGATTGTATCGAAACGTCTGTATTATGATCCCTTTAAAGGTAAATATTTTGTTGAATATTTTTCTCTCCTTTCTCTAATATGATTTTGAAATTTCTTGAATTCATCATTATATTTTCCTTAGATTTCTTATTCTCTTATCAATATTCCTTTCATCAGCACATATTTTTCTACATACAAGCCAAATGCATGCATTCTGCATAATCGTTTCCATTGAATAAATATTTTAGCTTTAAGTTTATATAGATTAAAATTCATATCAGCAGAGTTTTAAAAATTCAATTGGAAATATAATTTCCTTCGAATGGAAGATCTTAATTAATTATTTCCTTACTTTATTATTAGTATTATTTGGAAATAATAAAGTATAAAAATTAATTAATGTTTAGTTACGAAATTAGTAAAAGTATTGAATAGATATATAATGTTTGGATTTTTATTATATTTATTTAGAAATTACGGACAATTACTTTTACTTTTATTATCATTACATTTACTACAAAAGCATCTTGTTATCGAGTACACATTTTTTCAATGTTTCTACTATTCAACGATGCATACACGCTAATTTTTATGTAAAACGTAACTTTGATCATTTAACGTAACTTAATTTTAGTTATTTTTTATTAAAAGTCTATATAAATAAGAAACATTCAAGTAATTAGTTGAATGAAAAGAGTAAATATAAAGGTTTGACTTTCAAAGATCAAAACTTCTCTTCACATAAATATTTGCAAGTATGCAGAGTTGAGAAACTGGCAAATAAAATATCTATTTGTTTTACAGTAATATTTAAGTATGCGGTTTTTTCTTCAAATAATAATTTATCCGCTGAAAAATTTAAAGATTAATTTTAGATTATTTGATCCAGCAATTATAGTCGAATTACGTAGCATTTGCAAAAAAATTTTGTTTATATATCTCGGTACACGTGTGAGTGTGTGTACATATATACATATATATATATACATATATATATATATATATATATATATATATATATATATGTGTGTGTGTGTGTGTGTGTGTGTGTGTACTTAAGTGGCAAACAAAATTTCAACGTAATATTTATATAGACGTGGCTGAGCTATTGGTTTTCCAAAAAAGCTTTAAAGATAATCTGGCAGCTTCATAGATAGCTTTATGGATTTGTAATGGGCTATACGAAAATACTTATACGTACCTAATAATAAATTGCAATATTTATCAAGATTTTTCATTAGCTTATAAAAGAAAAAAAAAAGGTAACTTCCATTTAGAGCTGAGAATTCCAAAGCGCTTTAAGATAATGCAAGTTACACTACGTGGGACGATTCCTTTGTTCGACATTGCAATTTGCATAATGTAATATACCACCGCATATCGCTAGATTTGCACGATAAATGGCAAATCTGCGTGTCTCGTTCCATGGCGGAATTGAAGCAGCATTGAAGGATTCAGATAAACGCAGCATGAAGGAAGAACGATGCTCGAGAGTCGGGATGATTTTTGTTCGCAGGCCCGGAACCCGCGGAGGATAGGCTGCTTAGTGGTGACCGTGTGGGTGGTGTCGCTCGGCATATCACTGGCGCCTCAGCTCGGCTGGAAGGATCCAGGATACTTGGATCGCATCGCCGACGGAAAGTGCCTGGTGTCGCAGGATCCCGCGTATCAGGTAAGCGTCGGTGCGGCTATAAAATGAGGGTTGGGGGCCGTTGGCTGAGCGTCACTAGGGGGGCCGGGGGAGAGGGCGGGATAAAGGTAAAAATGGCGAAGTGGAGGTTGAAATAAAATTTATTTGCGGAGAACTCGAAAGGCCAAGGGGAATGCAGAGAGGGAGTTTGTGGGTGTAAAGAAGTCTCTGAAGAAGCCAGTGGTAAGGCACTGGAAGTAGGGGGGAGTAGTATAGGAATGGGGCTAGATCATAAAAGCAGGCGTCGATTTTCTTTTTTATTGGTGAGCAGAGACAATGGGGGATCGCGTAGATCCTTTCCCGAAGTCTTTTTCCTTTTTAAGTATATACGTATAGAAAGGCACTGGCTCGTGCAAGAGTACCTCTCTACTTCATTCTCATTCTCTCTTTCTCTTTCTTTCTCTCTCTCTCTCTCTCTCTCTCTCTCTCTCTCGCTCTCTCTCGCTCGTTATACTTTTTCTCGCGATTCGGACGAGGTAAAGGTAAATATATTTGCTGGTTTTCTTCGGTCTGACACGATCGATTGCATGATCACCAACTGACCACTTTCATCTATCAGCGGCGGAAGCACGCCTTGGAAATTCTCATAAAGCGGCAAATCATTTTATTGACTGAAAATTTAGCTCGATGAGCCATTTGCTCTTGTTTCTTTTTTTTTCTTTTTTTTTTTTTTTTATTATGGAGAAGGAGAAAATCGAGTTGTAGATGAAATGCAACACATCGATCGGCTTTAATAAGAATACACGACGATAGTATGTGAGGGAGAGAGAGAGGGAGAGAGAGAGGAAGCTTTACTTATCCTACATAACGCACACTATAAACTGAAAAACTTGCCCGATTGTATTGTAAGAAGTACGATTGTGGAGCCTCGTTACACTTTTGTGTCTTATTTGGATTCAGAGAAACGTAGAAGAAGTGTAGTTTGCAAGTACTTTGTTGAGTTTTTTATTTATATTTTATAGAACAATTTGGATCATCTTATAGTTTTGTAAAACTTTGCACTATTAAAATCGAAGTTTTCTCATAATATTGATCATATCGATTTTCATGAAATTGTCATAAATTGTTTAAATTTTACAAGAATTTGCGAGTACTTAATAATAACAGTGATAAAGTTTCGACTTTATTGAAACTTCAGCTCTTTGTTTTTTTTTATAATTCATTGATATATATATTTACCTTAATTTTTATCAAGTTTCGTACTTGGCAGTGCAATAAATGTATCGTACAATTGGTTCAATATAATTCCATCAAACAAATGAGAATTGGTTGATGAAAGTGCAATTTCTTTTAATACCAAAGCTATTCAATGTAAAAATAAAATCATCCAATCAAAGCAATTATAAATTATAAAAATAATTTAATCATTGTTTCCAATTAGTTACCACTCGTACCTTTGAGGCTGCTTTTTTCTTTTTTGCCTTAGTCGTGAGAGATAAAGATCTTGCAGATGTGAGCTCAGAGTCATAATCTAATTTGTGTACGTAGATTCTTAAGTAAAATGCGAACGACCGCGGTAGTGGGACGCGGTGTAAGAGAGAGCGGAACTTGGTTCCGTCCTTGCAGCCGGCCTATCCATCTTCTATAAAGTTCTCGCAGTGTAAATAAGGTCATTAGTCAGAGAAAGCTGCTGATTGGCGAGGGTGCTTTACTCGCTCGCTCGAGCCACGCTGTTGCGAGTAGTCGGAGAGATAGTTGATAAAAAGTAGGCTCCGTCTAAATAAATCGTTCCGATGCAAAAGGAAAAGGAGAGGGGAACTCTGTTGCTCTTAGCTGTCGAGTGACAAACTAACGTATCGAGTGTTGCTGTTCCGATAGCAATCAAATTATCAGCAATCACCGTATGCTTCTTTGGCCATTTTGCTTTCTATTTTTATCTGAAATTTATTCGTAATAGGGAGAAGGCGCGAGTCTCGATATCAATAGTTAAAATTCTGACGCCTTCGTGCGCCCACAACGTCAAATCAATAATCAGAATTAAAAATATAAGGGTAGTTTGCATTTTGCACATTCCTATTTACTTTTATGTATTTATATGCGGGTAAGTGCATTTGAAGGTAAAATAATCGCTTGAAATACATTGCTACTGCGCATCTTAAAACTTATATGTCTTTATTAATAATTTCAATCATTTATTTGTCAAAGATCCTTGTAAGTCTCTGCTCGGGACATTGAAATACTTTTATCGATTTCTTTCATATTTTATCAAGCTTTAAAATTAAAATCATTTGTAAAGTCTCGATGGGCTATGTACACGTAAAAATTTATAAATCAAAGAGTTTGGACTTTCATTCGGGACAGTTTAATGTCGCGTCATTTATAAATCGCTAATTTTCCATCAACGTTACGCGCCTTGGATACCCGAACTAATTAAGGACTTTCAAATGCAAATATTTTTAATAAACACAGCTAGTATGAAAATGATCCCGCCTTGTGTTTGTTACTTAACAATTAATGCTAACGATCGATAATTAACATGTACACGACAAAATATGCGTGTGTGCGAAAGTTAGTATAAACGCGATTCTACGCATGCAAATACGCAGGCGTACGAGTAAAAGGCGGACCATTTTGAATGTTAAGAAGGTGGATAGGGGGAGAGGTAACGGAGCGGAAATGGAGGGGGGGGGGGGGGGGAATGCGGTGAAGCGAGTTTAAGGGAACAACCGCTGATAATGCGCCTCGTAGTAACAAGCTTCTGCTTGGCGTGAGGGGGTAAAGGGATGGTAGAGGAGGACTCCGAAGAAGCTAAACTGGCTTTTTGTTTCATGTTGTACCGGATCAAGCTTGGCTGAGAGAATCAGAAGTCTTCGTTTTCTCTGTGGCTCGACGGGAGTTTGCTTCGCGCTCTGATTTCCTCGATGAGCCCATTGTTACAGCCAAATGTATTATGCCCGTATTTTCCGCGAAGATATAACAAACATTACATTTTCTTGGGAACGTAAAAGCAGCTTCGTAAATTTCTGCAAAACCCTTGTCTTAGGCTCGGTTCTTTACACTCGCGCATTTATGCGCATTAGTATGCCATTCGCCTTAAAACGATATTGTGTAAGACATTTACTGCATTTTCAATTGCCGTTCATGTAGAGGCAAATTAGTGTAAAATTACGAGATAAAAAGGCATTGGTCGTTGTGCTGATTTTCATTATAATTATATATATATATATATATATTATACCAATTATCAAAATAATATGTATGATGGCTTATATTGACAGAGCTTTTGAATACATAATCATTAAAAATTAATTTATATTCTTATATTCTATTTTTATGTTCGTTTTAATTTATCTTTGTAATTGACGAGCTACTACTCTTCAAAATATTATATAATTGTGTGACTGCGATGGGTTAAAAAATGAATTAATACGAAGTAATATAATTATTATGAAAATTGAAGGGAACGTATCGCTATTACAGTAAGAAATAGTATCCAAAATTTTTAGAAGCTCTGTAATTCGTGATTATAAGGGGATAATTTTAAATAAAGTCAATGTAGTTTTAAAGTAAGCTCAATGTCTCGATAAGAAGATAGTGAAAAGTCATCACTTTTTAATTGACTAAAAAAGTAAAAATTATGTATTTGTAATTTGGCTAAATGATTAATAAGTAAAAAATCCATATTATGAAAAGTAAATTTGTATATAAAAGTGAGTAAAAAGATCGTGGTAACAAGTTCAAACAATTTGTAAATTAAATATAATCTACAGTCCCAGCGATCTTATCCATATAGTAATAACGACACTTTATCGGGACTATAGTAAAAAAAATAAATAAATAATTATAGTTACTGTAGCGAATTTTTCGTTCCGTCAACGAGATAAATCTGCCTATGCTACAGTCAAAGAAAAAAAACTTCTCATCACTAGTTAACCTCTCAGCTGATAAAATTAAATGTTTGTTTCATCGATTCAGATATTTGCGACATGCGCTACATTTTACCTGCCGCTCCTAGTCATTCTCTTCCTATACTGGAGGATATTCCAGGCAGCTAGAAGACGAATTCGAAAACGTCCTGGAACGACCATACAACCACCGCGAGAACGTCGAGGAATCTTAAGGCTCAAAAGAAGGTTATATTAAACTTATATTTCTCTTAATAATCCATGATTATAGTTATGTAAGGGCAGTGTGTTCGACAAGTGAAACGTTTAGAGGTGGCCAAGCTGCATTCGCTTTATAGTGCACCGTGGAGTTAGGGAAGTAGCAACGCCCATACGAAGTCAAACGCGAAGTGGAATTAGTGAGAAGTAGTAATAGTTGGTCTTGTCGAGTGATCTACGTAGTCGTAGCAAGTAGTAAAGTTGCTGTCCGCTCAGTCAACTCCCAAGACTTTCTCTCAATTGAATTAGATTAGTGCTTCTGTCTTTTGTAAGAGATAAGAAAACTTATTTGCGCCTTAATCAGCGCTTGTATTCGATACGACCTTTTAATTAAAAAAATTCAGAGTATATCTTGTATTAAAGGATTTTTAGTACTAATTAATCATAATAGTCATAAGAGATATATTGTTTACGCGAATGAATATAAGATATTTTAAGAAGACGAGGAATAATTGAATTATTCGTCCAATATAATTAAATGATTGTGCTTTATTGTATCAATATTAATGAAAATTTTTATCACGTACTAATTATTTAATTTTCTTTACGCATTGTATATGGTGATAAGTTAACCAGCAAATAACCAATAAAATTGCTCGTTTCTACATTCACATGCATATTACATTCAACTTAAGTTCATAATAAATTTTTAATAAACTTTTTATGTTTAGCATCACAACTCTATATTATTTAATATATTTTACGAGTGCAGTATTTATCGATTGCCTTATTACCAATATTATTGTAATTATGACATTGTATTACCAATTAAAATTCAGATATATTGTATTAAAGTGTTTCAAAATATCATTATTGGTGATTTATATGATTACGATTATATCGTAAAATTATTGTAATTGTTAAATTGAAACTTATGGAAGCTAAAGTCTTGTTATTAACAATATACACGTATACACATACATATTTGGATAAATTATCACTATATATTTCAACATAGAAGATTTTTTTATTAATTTTTGATAGCATATGAATAATGATGTAGGAAATTTAATATTTTGATATGAGTGATAAATTAAAAATTGGCGTATATTTGGTTTGTAGGCATTTGCATTTAGAATAGTAACGAAGAAATTTTAAGATATGAAAAAGAACGTTTCACATAATAGATGTGGTAAATGGAGAATTCTAAAAGAACTACATTTTCGCAATAGGAGTTTCTTTTCTTTTTAAAAATGTATCATCATATCTTGTTAATAATTTTTCGCGAATTGAAACTTGTTGGTGAACGTTTGTAACAATGTTTGCAATATACCACAAAAAGTTTATTTCATTCCTCGTCTACACACACACACACATATATATATATATATTTTTTTTTTCATAAAAATGTTCGTTCTTTAGGAGAAACACAATGCGTGCATCGAGCGAATTAATTTTTATTTAATACAGAAGCACTAGATTAAGGAAAGAACAATAATTCTGTTTCCTTTGCGTAATGTGCAATTAATACGTTGTATGCCGAAGGAGTACTAAATTTTCAAACCATAATTTCATAATTACGTCGAATTAATTATAATCCAAATACTCGCACACAATTACAAACGAGCGTGAACACGCACTTGCACACGTATGTGCCATGTCTGTATAATTGGCTGTGATAATCCTAATTTATCATTAGGCTTTAATCTCAAAGTGACTAATTTACTTTAGCCGTCCCCGTGATGAAATTCGGCTGATAAAGTCACCACTTCCAATATACATCAATTGCAGCAATTTTCACAATTCAAGTCAAATAAGGTTAAATAGTCGCGAACTTTTCATCAATTAAACGTAAGGATGCTTTGCAGTTTCACAGCAATGAGATTCCCCAACGGCCGATCAATCAATTAACTATGATTTTCTGCTCACGTTCGAACAATGTTTCAAATAGTGCGAGGGAGGAGCCGACCGCCTTCACCATAACCCGCTCAACTCCCGACCACTCGTCCGCATCGCCCGAGAAGTCATCTTCCTACAACGGGGCGAATGCGGTTGTCCAGCAACATTCGGCGACGTCCGTCGGAGCGGCATCCTCGACGACAACACTGACGACGGCCGCAGCGAGCAGCTCCACGGCCTCGACGACGACGATGCTCACGCCGACCCTGAGAGCGGCACCCTCCACTCGCAAGACCCGCGAGACCATTGAGGCGAAGCGGGAGCGCAAGGCCGCGAAGACCCTGGCCATCATCACCGGTGCCTTCGTCGCCTGCTGGCTGCCCTTCTTCCTCGTCGCCCTCCTCCAGGCCGTCTGCGCCCCTTGCGAGCCCCCCGACCTCGTCGCCAGCGTTTTCCTTTGGCTGGGCTACTTCAACAGCACCCTCAACCCTGTGATCTACACGATATTCTCGCCCGAGTTCCGGCAGGCCTTCAAGAGGATTCTGGGTGTCGGCTCGAGACCTGTGCGCTGACCCGATGCGCCCTCTCCCCCACGTAAGACTCGAAATCCTCGATCGACCCTCTTCTGTCCATTGATCCCGCAGGCGCGACTCCACGAGCGATTTCCTTTCGCGGTCCACTTCGTTTAGCTGTCGCCGTTGAATATCAAAGGCTCGGAAACCACTTGGTCCAGCTCTCTCGGTTGGTCCTTAACTTCATTCGGCCGCATTATCTTCGGGCGAGTTGCCGCTCGTATCGAGAGTTGTTATTTCAGCGCTGCTCCCGAGTTAGAGCGTGCCGGGAGATCTTTTAACGTGATCGCATTTTATTAAAGAGTATAAATTTTTATGAGTTTGACCCGTCTATTGTTGCAATTGGCAGAAATGGTTGTAAATCAAATCGACATTTTTACTTTTGCGCGTTAAAATTCCGGCTTATTTTGATCGATCTCTACGGTTGGAGCATCCCGTCCACGGGAAAATGCAAAATGCCAGAGAGATATTCCATTTTGCAATTAAGCTTTACGATAAAAATCAAACGATGCCTTACATAATTTAAAAATTTTTTTAAATATACATTTACTTATAATGTGCATTTAAATAATTCATTCGAGGAAAATTTAAGCCGATATTTCCCTATTTCTTATTTCTTTTTCAACATTCTCAACAATCAAATTTGACTTTTTATGCAAATTTATAGCTCCGAAGATTTTTTAAAAATACATTCATCGTACAGCTCTTCTCATTTATCCACTTTTACTCGGTTTCAATAATTAACTCAGCGTTTAATTCAACGTCTACTTTAGTTGAGGAGTTTTTGATATTTTTCTTAAAATTGCCTTGTTACTTATTTTGAAATACGAGCTAAAAAGTTGAATAATAAATGATTATATTTAATTTATAAGCCCTATCGGAGAGAAAATTCCATTCTCCTACTGTTTTTTAAAATGCAAATGTGAATTTAAATTTCATCTTAGTATTGGATGCATGCATCGATTTACCTTAACTGTGTGTTTAATAAATCTTGAAAGATAATATAAAAATTAGCCGCGCAACTTCAATTAAACTAATCTTTCGATAAAGTATATTTTGCATATAACATCCATAGAATTGTAGGTCAATTGCAAATTATAAATCTAAATTACCGTATACATAATTTAAGCATTAGTTTGTATATATATATATGATGTGTGTGTGTTCGCGCGCATACACATACGTGTGTGTATAAGCGTCATTAAACGTATTTCCAAAAGAAAAACGAAAAAAAGAAAAAGAAAAGATACGTTGCATTGTCGTTATAATTTGCGCTCCCATTAAAAAGTAAAGGCATTCAAAATATAGCAATTAACAAAGTGATTACATAATAACTAAAGCGGGACTCTCGCTCTACATAATTATTTGACATAATTTACCGATGCAACTTGCAAAATTGTTGAACGTAACGGGCGAAGGCCAAGGCATTAGGAGCCATTATCAGTTAGGGAGCACAGACGCTATTGGATATTTTGAGAAAGTGAAAGCCCGGATAACCGACGGAATTTAATGATCCGTCGCACATATGCATGCGGCGTGGAAAGATTATTGGCCAAATATTTTTCACGGGCCTTATCGCAATGGAATTTCGAGCCAAGGTACGCGCACGATCAGCCATTCGCCGATTAATTTTGCGCGCGCAAATTGACTTCCTCGTTACCAATGTACCCTTCGTACAATTCCCTTTGTCCTTAAAACGCCTTCGCCCTACATTCTCAACATGGCCAATTAATAATATTCATCCAAAGAATCAGCTAATGAACGGTTCGCGCTCAATTAGCCGTACCATTCGACGGCACAATTTCATTTATGCTTAAAAGATCCCATTGGCTGGAGAATGTCCACACGATTCTACAGAGATTAGTGCGGATTATGGGTTGCGCGCAATCTCCGCTATTTCATTGATTTAGGAGGTAAAGCGTGCTCGGGGAGTATCGTTGCCATAATAAGGAAGGCGAGGAGGTTTTTGCGATCTTCCAGCTGCAACTAGAACCTTCGTTCAGCGCTGAAGATAAGTTTTCGTTGGACGGACGGTACGCAATTTTATCCTATAGATATTCGTTGATTTTCAATGACTTTACCCTAACGCCGACCTTCATTATGCAAATCATTCTCGTGGACAAGGGATTTTTCAAAATTTGAGAAAGTTTGTAAAGAAGAAGCGTAAGGATATTTGTGCGAAGTTTCTGTTTTGAAATTACAAGGATTCGATGATCTCGTCAACATGTTTTTCTTTTCTTTTCTTTTTTTTTAATTAAAGTTGCTTTGAAAATTTTAAAGTTCCTCGATAAATGGAAAAACGGTTTTGCAAAATTTTTACTTAAAAAACACGCGCTCTTATTTATTTAACAAGCATGTCAATTACAAAGTAAATTAATTTCGTCGAGCATAGTATTTATTTTTCGAGATGTATTTTTTACTACTACAATGAGCATCCGACTTTGCGCAAAGTTTGAAGTAGATAAATTAAAAGTTAACGAACAAAAAGCTTCGTTCCATACTTCAAGTATTTAAGTGCAGGATAACATAAGTGAAACAATTATAACTTAACACGAAGTGCATGAAGTATATTCAAATTTTTTTTTAATTTTTTTTGAAAATATTTCATCTGATAAGTATGATGTCTTGTATTGGAATTCAATTAATCATGTATTTTTAAATTCAATTATATTTACAATTCATTATTACGTTATTAGGTTAAGAAATAAATTTTAACGGAACTCTTTTAATAAATCGAGTCACAACATAAATATTTGCAAATACTTATTTACTTTTGGCGAGGCTGTCTTCTGTATTTAATAATGCGAATACATGTTTAATACACGTCACTAATTACGAAAATTAAATTTAATCAATTATGAGAAAACTGATAGTAAAAATTATTGATAAAAGATGTCCTGGCTATTGTCGGTACCGCGTATAATTGAGTTTACAAGATGCGCAGATTCACGAAGCACGCGGGAATTCTCCATCCTTTTAATGCCAAAACATACTTGTACAGCTCCTCCTACTCTCTATTACCGTACATCTGTTTCATCCTTTTTTTATCCTCTATTTTTCTCCAAGTTTCATCAGCTTCACTTTATCAACATAAGCAGATAGACATTTATTTCCAATCAGTAATAATGTCGATGATTTATTAATAATTTTATATTTAAATATATATATATATATATATATATATATACATTGGAAAGGGTATAGCGAATTGTAGTGTATACTGTGTATAAAATTTATGTTTAAATATCGTATTAGGAATGTCATATCTTTTACTTGCACAATATTTTTATACGCTTTTAAAGTATTACTCCATTAAAAAAGATGCTTTTTCTAAAATGATAAAAATGATAATATGTAGTAATATTATAATACATTTATCATAGTTATGTGGAATTTTAAAAGTATTTTTATTTCTAAAATGACTCAATTGTATATCATTTTCATACAGGTAGTTCTTATTCTACATGAAATAAACCTCCGATAAAGCAATGTAAAAGTAGTTAAAATTATTTAACTGTTTATTTAATTGTTATTTACACACTTAATAATTGTAATGTTCTATAATTATTAAAATAGCAATTCCTATCAAATGCTCGTATTTTTAAGTTAACATAAAATACCACATCGCATCTTTGTATGATAAAACTTCTAGTGAAATAAATGATTAAGCATGAATAATAATAATAATAATAATAATAATATCAATGTCTCCGTACGTATTTCCGCTTGAAGTAACTAGACTATTATTTAAAAATTTGCAAATTTTATGCATACATTTACCTGTTTATTTAAAATTTCTATAATTTATGGTTTTATCAAGTATTTATGAACCTTATTATTAAAATTATAATTACGAAAACGCAATTATATCCTGAAATTTTCCGTTTGATAAAACATAAGCTATTTTTAAATAAGACAAAATTTATATCTAATATATAGACTTATTTATAGTGAAAGATATATATATATATATATATATCATAACGGATAACTTTATTTTCAAGGTACGAATAATCGAAGAGCGAATAATGTACAATGTAGCCGAATGATCGGATGTTGCCAACTGCAAGAGACATTATCTTATTAGCAGAAGATTTTTGAAACAGTATTTGAGTAACGAAGGCCAGCGCATAATTTAAAAAGTGTATAAACCATAAAATATTAAAAATATAAACACTGGATAAAGAGAGAATAATTAATGCGTTAGGAAGTCTAGATAAATTCTTTGTGCACCTATCGGAATTTGCAATTAGCGACGTTGCAACGCTACGTGGCATTGACTATTTTTTACGCGCATTGCATTACCTACGTCTTATTCTAATGCGACGCAGCATTTGATCATTACATCCTCTTTAACCTATTCTATTGCTTTTTCAAGCAACACTATAATGTACTAACGTACACTTAAATATTATTCGAGAGTAAGAGATCAATGATATAAAATATATGAGAATGAAGATATCGACCTACTACTTGAGCCCTAGAAGTGGTCGGAAGGTAATATACTGAGAAACGAGGGGGAACAAATTTCAAACTATGTGTAAAAAGGGATTGAAGGATTCACCGCGCATGCTGCGAAGGAAAATTCCATACGTAAATATTACATAAGTAAGAATCTTAGCTGACAGTTTTGTATAATAACAAAATGTATATCTGAGCACCGTGGCTAAGCAGAGTTTGCTTAATATAAATGGAAGTATACAATAACTAAAGTATTCTATTATCAGTCCTGAATAAAAATTATTATATTTCAAACTTTTATTGAATGATATTTCAATTTATTTATGAACTGTTAACAAACTGCAATTGTACGTTTTAAATTTCTTTTATAAATATAACGTTAAGAGAACTTATGACCTGTACGACAACTCGTAGTAGATTACTTTATGCATAATATCAAAATACTTCATCAAGAATAAATCTTATTCTTCTGTTGAAAAACATTGTATTTTCATTTAAAAATTATCCGTTTAAAATAAAGAGTATAAGAAGAAAAAAAAGAGAAAAAACTTTCGTTGAAACGGGCGTTAAACTTTTGAAAACAAAAACATTGTGAATTCAAAGGAGTTGGTCGTACGATAATAATACACACATTTGAAAGTTATACTGGTATAGTATTAAGTCGTTATCATAAAGAGCGCTTGTCTTAGGTAATCAATACTCGAAAAATAATTAAAACAAGCAAACAGATGAAGCCAATATTTAAGAAAATGGTAACAAGAAAATGGTAGCTATTAGTTTTTTACACATTATGTCACTCAGTTGAACCCTTAAGGGTCAAAGCAAACACGAGAAAAATTAAAAGAATTAACAATACTTTTTCAAAATATCTTCTTAATGCACGTATATTAAAATACATTCATCGCGTTATAGTTATCGCTAGTTTAAGATGCGAGGAATGTCAGTACTTAATGATATATGATATTACGAAAAGCGCAGTGGCCGCTTTTACTTTGATTAAGGCTTGGTCAGAATAATAAATTTTATCGCACAACTACATGTTGCATACTCGTAAATGTATATATATATATATATATTGCATATATATATTTATATGATGATTGTAGTTGTCTAGTTGTCTATTTACGTGTGTATCTACATGCATGTCTATATATATATATATATATATATATATATATATATATATATATATATATATATATATATACGTATATACATAGGCATGCGCATACAAAAACATATTGACAACTATTATTTATTATAAAAGAGATTGAAGAAAAATTAGTGATGTAATTATATACCACATTATCGTTCTCAATATAATATTTGACTGGAATTTTATTGATGATGATAAGAAAATTGGTAAAAGTTTAACCAGGAAGAGCTCGAGTTACTGTTTGTATATTATGCATGCAAGTGAAAAGAATTTTGATTCTACGTTGCATAATTGCCTTGGGCATATCTCATTTGTAAATACTAATGAATGTTACGTTTACTCTTAATGAATTTAATTGTTGCAGAGCCAATTACTATTTGAGAAGATAATTAATAATTAAATTATCGTGAATGCTGACGATTAATATATAATCATTAGGATCCAGGAAATTTTTCGTATGCATAAATCTGAGATTTCCCTGGTTTGTGACTTGAAATAAAATAAAAAATAATAAAAGGATATATAAATATATATGTATACTGTAACGTACGCTTCAAGAATAATGCATTGTACGAGCAAAAGTTTCGAGAGCAACAACTTCTTAAAAGTTCTAAGGCAATAATGCGTTGAAAGGCCCATTTATCGTTTAAGTACATTAATCTACTAATTCGAAGGAATATCAATTTAATTAATGCGCTTACGAAGACACCTGGGCTTACTTACGCTGACAGTTACGTCGTGTGTGGCTCACATTAAATTATAAAAGAATAAAGCATATATACGTATTACGACATCCCTCTGGTATTACACTTACAATATTTGCTACTTATATGTACAAGTGAAAATGTATGGAGAGAATTGTAAAGATATATCGTTGAGTTTGAGAGAATAAAATATATCAGGTCGAAACTACCAATGTCTCATTATAATTTAATTTCCTCCTATTAAAAGTTCGCTATTATTTAATGAAATTTTTTACATTCTTTATTTTCTTTTATAGATGGAGCTTAAATTTTTGCAAGCTCATCTATCGCTTATATAAAGGTATTGGAAATTCTTGTTCCTTAATAGTTATTTTTTGTGAATATATAAAGGCAGCTTATATTAAATAAGCTATTTAATCTATATTAAAAGTTACAAACAATTATTTTTAATATACGGATTAAAGTAAATTCAGCATTTATTTTCATGCAGTAGAAATACATTTAGCGTAAAGCATAAATAACAATATTGCTATCATTAAAGCGAAATTGCGGATACTTTGGTAAGTATTGTTGACTATTACTATGAAATTTATATCCAATGCTAGAAAATTAGAATAAATTTTTATCTAAATACTAGAAATTTGTATCTAACATCCTCGACTTTACAAGCTTTTAACTAAATCACCGTCTTGGTCTATGCTATGTAGATAAAGCCCCGAGATGCGTTAATAGTAACCTTGGCCCGTGTTTACTTAACAAATCCGCTCAAATACGTGCACAAACGGGATGCACGTTTAGACACACAGACGAAGAACATTGACACGTTGACGCTCGACGAGGAGTCGGGAAAGTGAATCGACACCGCTAAATCACGCGACGCAATTAAAGCTGCGAGGCTTTGCCGAAAAAGTAATGAAAGAGAGGCGTTCGTTCGTTCCAGGCCTTCGGGAGTCTTTTACTGTCCCACAATGGAATACGACCATCGTTATGTCACAGGATGAGCCAATCACTATGGAAGGATGACGTACTACGTAAAGCACTGTTTTCATTACAAGGAAGATCCATTAATATTGTAGTTAATTTGTTCGTTAGTCAGCTGTTCCTTCTCACGGGGATTGTTGATCGTGGGAAAAGGAGCATTGACGAGTCGACCGACGACTCGACGTCTCGTCTCGACCATTCCTGCATGTTAAAACATGTTTCCCCTTCTCTTTGAATGTATTTAACCTCAAAATGTAAAATGTTCCTTCTTAAATAAACGATATTATTGCGTTGAAATATAGAAATAAAAATACTCAAATAGAGTTGAAATATTTTTACTTTATTATATTAATTTATTCAGCACTTAAAATGCTTTTAAAAAATCAGTCCGCGGTACCTCCTTAATTTATTATTTTAGTTGCAAAATGTTCTGCTGTACATCTAAGAAAATAAAAACGTTATTTTTACAAATTTGTGTGACTCGTGTCGCTTTAATAAATACAAAGTAGTATTTATGATTCTAAGCACACTCGTATATGTCTTACGCTAATATTCCTTCCATACAAATATATTTTTCGAAATTCAATGTTTAAATAAATAATCAATCGATGCTTGTTCTTTGAATAATTTATTAAATTTCACTGAAAAATACGAAAATTTTTTAATAATTCTAATGTTAATACCATTCAACTAATGTGAAAGACTATTATATTCTAAGGAATTTTCATTAATAAGGATCTTTGCATAAATTTGTACTTCAATGCATACAAAATAAGAGCAATTTCGAAGTTAATAATCGAATATTTCGTATATTAATTTTAAAATTATCTAAATGTTTAATACGCTATCGTAGCAATTATCTTAAAGGTAAAATTACAGTTGAAAATCGTTAGCCACGCATCAATTATATTTATTTTCATAGTCAGACTAGAAAAATCGGAAAAACAGTTACAGAAGAGAACGATTGGTAGGTAAGTGACTAACTTCATTTATAAGAAGGTGTCAAGATATCCGAGCATTCAACAGTTTTTCCTTTCGGAATATGATAGATTGTTATTTTTCTTATATTTCCGGTATATTTCTGGTATATATCTTATTTTATCATATTTACTTATACAAATTTAATATTTTACATTTAGTTTATCTTTCGGAGTTATTGAGTTTCGACGTAAATAATGTAGTTTTTTCTCTCCAAATAGTATTTCATAAATGATATCCCGATCTTACTTGCATTTAATTAATAGCTTAGTTCAAAATTTACAGCATATACAGAGTGATGATAGCATTTTTTATTGAAGTAAATAATACCAATGATAATTAAAATCCAATAAATTAATATCAATTTAAGAATAATTGAATGTACAATACAATACTTTCAATTGTATTATTCTTCTTTTTTTTTTTTTTTTTTTTTTTTTTTTTTTTTTTTGTTCTTCTATTCAATAGTTTTAAAAGGGAGAAGAATTCGTTGTTACGAGGAAAATACTCAAGTTTTACAAGAATTTTAAATATAATAAATTTTACAGGGAACAATAAAAATATATAACCATAAATATATAGAAATAAAAATGTTTTGAACTTTTTACAAAGTTTTTCATAAATTCTCGTTGACAATGATATCGTTTATCTATCTAAGGAATCTATACAGATATTTTCAGTCGCAGCATCGATGTGCATATAAAAGACCTGATCCATTTTACGTAGAATCGTCTCAAGAGATAACTTGCAAAATAGAAAAATAGATAAAGAGATGAAATAGTAAGCACGGAGAAAAATTAATAGAAAAATGGGAAAGATGAGAGGTGGAAAAAAAAGATTAATGCTCTATTAGCAAATGAAAGGTGGAGGCCTTTGTTCGGCAGCGAATTAGCGCGTCTTTAATGCCAATTTAAATAATCTCGCACGTCCCACTTCTCTTTTTGCCCTCAGAAGACAACGAAAACGATCTTGGCTCTTCGTTAGAAATAAAGTTCGTTCTACGGCACGAAAATGCTTGGATGAAAACGACTCTGTAGGAATTGTGATTTATCGAGTTGGCCTATCCGTTCCTCTTCACCCTGTCTCGTACTGCGTTTCTTCGTATTTC